AGGAGGGGGTTGGTCAAGCAATGCCTTTATTGTCTCTGGAAGGAGTGACGGTCATGGTCCCCCTGCAGGACTCTGCCTGAGCCAGGGACAGAGGTGGCCAGGATGGTGGGTGTGGAGGGACCAAGAGCACAGAGCAGGTCAGAGCCAGAGCAAGAGCCACCCTCTGGCTTTCCCCACCTCTTTTCCCACAACACCGGGGTCTGGACCATCCATTCAGGGCAGGGGCTGTTACCCCAAGCTGAGAAGTGTGCATTCCCCACTCCCCTCCAACACAGCGGGGGCTACAATCCCAGGCTGTGTGAGTGAAGGGCCCCTGCTGGGGACAGGAGAGGTGGTCAGGCCCATGGCGAGGCGATGGCACCTCCGACCACCTCAGGGGCATGTCCCACCCAGGGTCTCGAGAGCGACGGGGGCAGGGTGTGCTTTGGGCTGAGGGAAGGTGCTCACAGCAGGACCCAGAGGAGGCTGAGGCCCGCCTGAAGCAGGAGCCCCCGGGAGAGGGCCCAGGGGCCCTCCTGCGGGGTGGGGGCCCCGTTGCAAAGAGATCCGGAGCAGCACTGCCGGACAATCTTGCTGAGCTCCCTGGAGTCCGACAGCCATCTGAACTCCATGTTGGCGCTGGGGCACCTGGGGGCACAGCGCTTGCTGAGCAGGGTCTTCACCCGGAGTCCTGCGGGGAAGGGGGCAGCATCCAGGAGGAGGAGGAGCCCAGTCCCCAGGCGGGCACCGACACCGTCTCCTGACCCTTTCACAGGCCAGGCTCTGCGACGCGCTGGGAGCACAGCTGCCCAAGGTCACCTTCAAGGTCACAGCAAAGGCAAGGTTCAGGGCTGCTGGCCCCGGTCTGGGCTTTTCCCTGAAACCACGCACAGCCTGGACACCCAGGCAGCCAGGGGCCTGGGAGTTCTGGGGAGATGGGGGAAGATGAGCAGAGAGAAAAGGGAGGGCGACCGGAGAGCCAGTTGTTCCCAGCTGGGGCTTCTGTCCCCCGTTCACTCAGAGGTGTGCAGAGACCTTGGAAGGAAGCTCCGGAGGGAAGCAGGACACTCAGAACAACCCAGTTGAAGAAGAAAAGGTTGTCTTGGAGGAGACCGCCTCCTCATGCTGTGCTGTTGTGTTGTGTGTGTGTGTGTGTGCTGTATCCATTGCGTGCATGGTATTCACTATGTTAAACCTCATTGTACTGTATATATGACAAGTGCACGGGGCCTCCCAGGTGGTGCTAGTGGTAAAGAATCCACCTGCCAATGCAGGAGATGCAAGAGACTCGGGTTACATCCCTGAGTCAGGAAGGTCCCCCTGGAGTAGGAAATGCCAACCCGCTCCAGTATTCCTGCCTGGAGAATTCAAGACAGAAGAGCCTGGAGGTCTGCAGTCCCTGGGGTCGCGAAGAGTCAGACGCAGCTGAGCAGCTGAGCACGCACACATATGACAGCTGTGTGCATTGCCTTACATCATATCCTGGGCTGCCACATGGCACATGGTTTAGTGACACCCCAGAGAAGGAGAGAGACTGGCCGGCCCTCTCCAGAAGCCCCCAGGCTCAGCCTTGAGCAGCTGGCCCCTCCCCTGTGCTCAGGATGGGGATCAGGCAAAGGCGGGCGCAGGCCGGGGTCCCCTGAGGGGAGCCTCCATCAGTTCCCCACTGAGACCCCCAAGGATCCAGTGCCAAGTTCCCGGAGTCCCCCTCCGTGCTGGCCAAGTACTCACTCAGGGTGATGATCAACTTGTGGGAGACGCAGACCTGGTCAGTGGAGGAGCACGCTGTAGGCAAGCAAAACTCCGGGCTCCTGACCTTGAAGCACTGGTAGCAGCTCAGGTTCTTCCCTGCGGGGCAGCACCGGCGCGGAGGAGCGCGCTGCGCACCCGCCCAGCTAAGGGCCGTCGCCGCGGGATGTGCCCGCTGCCCCCAGGAGCCCCCGCGGCCGACAGGGCCGTCCTTACCTGGCTCTCTGGCTCCGCCAGCAGGGTCCAAAGACAGCAGCAGAGCCCACAGGGCTAGAACTAGCGCCCCCATGACACCACCAGCTTAGCCTGACGGGGAGTGGAGGAGGGAGGCGGGGCAGAGAAGAAGGCTTTGCCCAGAGCTCCCCAAGTCCACCCGCCCATCCTCTGGGTCTCTCCTCTCTGGACCCCCTCATTTGAGGTCAATCAGATCCTAGTTCTCATGGGACGCTCTCTGCCATCCTGACCCCTTCCTCCCGCCCCTTCCCTTCCCAACTGTGGGGAACTGCCCTTCCAGGAAAGTCAGCCCTGGTCTGGGGAGGGTCTCCTGGGGTCTGTGAGGATGGCCGCTTCCTGCTGGAGCAGAAAGGGGAGAGGGGTTTAGGGAAGGCATCTCCCCCGTGGCTCACCCCCTCCGTCAGGCTCCACCAACCTTACCTGGAGACCGGCCGCTCTAGGGGCCCTGCCTGAGTCCAGGCGTGGCAGGAGATGCTGCCCTCTTCTCTGACTCCCGGGGACCCAGTCTCCAGAGGCTGCACCCTGAATGCAGAGCCAACCAAAGCCCAGAGGCTCTCACCTGGGTGTCTGGAAGCTAGGTGGGTTTTCACACCACTTCCTGCCTGCACGTTTCCCCAGGCCCTTTCTTTTTTCCTTCTTGCCTTTATTTCCTTGATCATGCCCCGCTGAGCACCTGTGAGGAGCAGGCGGGCAGGGTGTGGGTCCTGGATCTGGATTTGCAGCAGGGGAAATGCCTGCCTCCAGGGGTCCAGCAGGAGAGTGGGTAGAAGGACAAAGAGGGTGACTACTAGGCAAAGCGGGGTTGAGAGGGGGCTGCCTCTGGCCCCCAAGTGACTTCTGCGACAGCTCCACCAGCAACTACCGGGCCTCAGCACCCCGTTCAGGCCCAGTTTCCTGTCACCGCAGGGAGGGGATGTGCTGGCTGTTGACAAGGGTGTGCAGCTGGTTGGGATCATTTCCCCTCCCAGTAGTCCAACCAGGACTGTCCCCCGCCCCGTCTTGCCTGGCAGGTCCCAGCCTCCACGTCGGGGGTGGTGGAGAACCCAGAGCCTCCGGTCCCTTTACTGGGCACCGCTCCAGCCCCTCTAGCTGTCCTGCCTTTGGCCAGGTGTGAGCCGGGCTTGGAGGTGGGCCCAGAAGGGGTGGGACTGGACCCGCCTGGGGTGCGGATCTTGGTTTACATTGCTTGTTTATTCGTTTGCCCTTTCATGCAGTGATCCAATTGAATGTGAGTCTGGGACCTCAAACCGCAGGGTGGTGTTGGATGTGGGTGTGATTAAGCAGGCTGGGTGGGCGTGGGGTGGGCGGCCGGGACAGCTTTGCACGACCCCACGCCTCAAGGTAGTCTCGAGTTAAAGCCTTGGCCCCACTGGCTAAGGGTGAGTCACCACCTGTGAGCTCACGTTTCGGCAAGGTCCTTTCTTCTGGGCCGGGGACGCAGGTCCTGGGGCCAGGGAGGTCTCTGCCCCCAGCGATGTTTCTGCCTTCGTCTGCTGTCCCCGCACCCCGGGGGCAGGCTCCCTGGACGGCTCCCTGGTACTGCCGGCTGAGAGCAGTGGGAGATGCATCCTTTCTTCCGAAGCAGACAAGTCGGGGGGGGGGGCGGCGGAGGTGACACCCTCGGCAGGCTTGGTGGCACATGAAAGAAGGGAGGGAGAAGGGGAAGTTCAGAGCTGCTGCAGCCAGAGAGACTCTCGATGTTGGTGGACATCCACCCCTCCCACCACTCGAGCGCGGACGCAGGGGCAGCTGCACTTCACCGCGCAGCCGGAAGAGGGCGACCCCGCGCCTGCAGGCGAATCTGCGGGGAGAAGAAGATAAATCCTCGCTCTTGGAAAATGTCCCCGACATCCAACTAGGGAGCAGAATAAAACTCTCCTGCCCGAATTAAAACATTTGAAAGTGTGAAGGAGCACCTTGCATCAGAACAACAATAGGCAATAAAAAGAAGACGAGATGAAAAATGACGAACGTGAGGAACGACTGGAGGAAAATCTCCATTTATGGTCTTCGTAAGTAGACCAGCTTAGAAGTGAGCTCACACTTACGAGTTCCAAGGGGGCAGGCACGTGAGACCCTAAGTTGGAAGCTGTAGCATGAGGGCCGGCAAGCAAGAAGACAAAACGACCTAACTTCAAACTAAAAGTGCTCACCTGTTCTGGAAAAATGACCCAGAAAAGTGAGCGCTAAGACTACGCTAGTAAAAAATGTAAAAGATACAGAAGCACCCTTTAGTGCAACCCTCCTCCCCCACCATATATGTAAAGAGAGAAAAAAAAAAGGTTGATATTCAGACTTCTCAAGATGCAGAAATTATTAAAAAAAGAAAAACTCAAGAAAATAAAATTTGAACCAAGTATTTTAAATATAGTCAATAATATAATCAAGCATCAATACTATAAGAAAAGTTTTTAAAATCTTGAAGTTTGTTTTTTTTAGTAAAGGGGAAAAAAATGACAACACACGAATTCAAATTCCCAATTCAAAAATCCTGGAGGGGCAGGGAGGAGCCAAAGCCAGCAGAAGAGAGTATGGAGAAGATCATCAGGCTGGAAGTGGTAGTAGATGGTGCAGAGACCACCACCCAGACATGACTAATAAAGCAAAAACTCGGCTCTCTGAAAAATGGAAAGAACTAGATAAGCAACTGACTAACCCAATCAATAAAAGAGGGGCAGTACAAATATACAAATAATAAATACTGAGTGAAGCAATTATTGAAAGACAAAATTTTAAATGATAACAGACTATTTCATATACCCTTATTAAGCAAATGTGGGACCTCAAATGAGGTGGATAACTACCTAGGAAAATACGCTTAGGCAAAATTTATCCCAGTTGAGAGAAAAGCTTTAAGAGATCAATTTCAGTATAAAATAAACATAATAAGAAACTATCCCAGAACAAATGGCCCGGATCAGATTATTTCACAATCTGAAATAATTCTACAAAATTCACAAATTCTACAAAATCTTCAAAGACCAACTCTTCCTAATGACACAGACTGTTTTGAGAACATAAAAGAGAATTCCAAATTATTTTAGTAAAGCCAGTATAATATTGATAACCAACCTAATAAAAATTGTAAAAAGAAAGACAATTACAAACCAACATCTTTTATCATTGCAAAAATCTTAAAGAAATATTAACAAACAGAATCCAACAGTACATCAAGAAAACACACGAAGAAAAAGTAGTATATATTACTAGGATTCAGATAGTTAAATATCACAGAATTTGTTAATACAATTCATCCTTTTAATAGATATGAAAATAAATGTCATAGGATTAAATCTATAGACTTTGAAGTATCTTGGAATAGACTAATTATCCTTCAATTAAAAATATTCAAGAAAAATATAATCTCTTAAAGTCATCACCTTATAAGAAAAGTATTCCCATCACTATTTGAAATTCAGCCAGTCTTCACTGATATAATTATAAAATATTAATTAGAGGCTTCAGAATGGGGAAAGAAGTAAAATCAGGTCCATCTGTAGATGAGATGGTAGTATACCTGGAAATCCTGGAGAATAAAGAATACAAATAACAAATTTCGAAAACAATCAGTAATGAGTCAGGATGCAAGGTAAACATATAAAACTCAGTGGCCATCAGAGGGCGTCCGGGATGTGTCAGGACGAAGGAGGCCGGCAGACACGTTCTACCGCGGGACCAAGAAGACAATACCAGGCAGGTTGCAGCTGTCATATTTAAATGTGCTGGGGAGCTGAGAGGACCAAGGACCAAGTGGTTGGCTTCCAGAAGTGGGGAGCTGAGCCTCCGCGGCCCCCAGCCCCGTCCTGCGGGGGCCTATCCAGCCACCACCCCAACTGTACCCAAACACCCGGCCGAGCGGCGGAGTCGTCTACGCATGCTCCGTCTGGGAAAGCGCCCGGCGCACGCGCAGGGTCCCGCATGCTGGCGGTGGTACCCAGGGCGGACCGTGTATAAGGACGACGGGCACCCGCGGCGTCCCACCGCTCTCAGGACCAAGTTCCCACCGGAGGAAAGAGGTCTGCTCCGAACACACGGCTGATCTTGCTCTGAAGAGACTCGACAGTCTGAAGTAAGGCAGCAGGAGTTGGCAGTGCGAGGCTTAAGGGCACGAAGGTGCGGAAATGCGTCTGCCACACTTTCCGGGACGAGGAGAGGGCCTGCTGAGCCGCTGCTGGAAGCCTGGGAGGAGAGGGATGGGAGGTCAGATGCGCCTTCCTAACTCTGGGGTCCAGCCCCACCTAGCTCGACTCTGATGGAGCTGACCTGAGAACACCTCGTGCACTTGATCTGGTAAAAGAGGAAACTAGAGACCTTCTAGTACTCGTGGCCTCTGGCCCTTATGTATACAACGCCGGAAGGTGACAGTAACAATAGGGGGAAAGACCCGGGGATGATCCAGATAATGGAGTCAGCAGGAAAGGACTTTATGTTAAGTGTATTCAATAGTAGACTTGAAAAACTGAGAGTTTAAACAGAGAATAGGACTTTATAAAACAAATCGAAAAAAAATATACCATGTATTGGCCAGGATTTTCCAGAGAAGCAGAACCAATAGAATGTGTATGTAAACAAAAAGTTTATTTTAAGGATGGGGCTCATGACCTTAGGGAGGCTGCAAGTTAAAAAACTCCAGGGTGGGCTGTGTTGGGGAGCAAAGAATTTTCCTCTACACTTTTGGCTAGCCTAAGAATTGAATTGACATGAGACAGATGAACAGGAGATCAAACAGAAGTGTAGTGCCACATCTACATGGGAGAGACCCAGGGAAGCTGAGTAACTCACTGAAGTGGCTGAAGCCCTCACGTTAATACCATCCTCAGCCAGAGAAAAACACGGGTTGTTGAAGGCAGGGAGAGTCAGTTAAGGGGGGTCGATCAGTGATGCAGATCAGTGATGCAGTGATGCAGTCACTGAGTTCTCCACCAGTATGAGTTTCTAGATATTTAGTCATCCCAAATGGAGATTGCCTTTATACATGTAAATGTTTCTTACAAAAGGTCAACTCCTACTTGGTTTTCAGAGCACTTCCCATGTCTGCTGTTTCCCAGAAAATAACTAGCTTGAAACAACTAATATGCCAAAGAGACATATTTTAGGGTGGCAAATTCTGCTCCCCTACAGCCAGAAGGATAGAGACCCAGGAAGAGCTGATGCTACAGTTAAAGTCCAAAGACTGCTGCAGAATTCCATCTTGTTTGGAGGAAATCAGTCTTTTGGGCTATTCAGACCTTCAACTGATTAGATGAGACCCTCCCACATTATGGAGAGCAGCCTGCTTCACTCCAATTTCACCAATTTAAATGTCAGTCCTGGGACTTCCCTGGTGGTCCAGTGGTTAAGAATTCACCTTGCAATGTAGGGGATTTAGGATCGATTCCTTGGAGGGGGAACTAAGATCCCACATGCCACAGAGCAACTGAGCCACAACCAGAGTCTGTGCACTGCAACAAACATCCCTAATGCTGATGCAGCCCCAAATAAATAAATACATATTTTAAAAATGTCAATCTCATCCAAAAATATCCTCACAGAAACATCCAGAATAGTGTCTGACCACATATTGGAGTACTGTGGCTCAGTCAAGTTAATACATCCAGTTAGCCATTGTATTCAGAAAGTAAAAAATAAAATATCTGAAATTAAGAACTCGTTTGGATGAATTAGGAGCAAAAGACACTATGAACATAGGTAGAGACAGGACAGTATAAAATAGCCCAAGGGAAACTTAGAATAAAAACAATAGAAAAAAAATTAATTGGAGCATCAGAGCCTGTGAGATTCAGTCAAATGGTCTAACTTTACATGAGATTGGAGTGCCATAGGAAGAAAGAGGGGTTAAATAAATACTTGAAGGTGTAATATTTTTCAAAATTCATAAAAGATAACCCACAGATTCATGGATCACAGAAAATCCTAAGCAGGCTAAGTGCAAAGAATGTCATCCCAGCTGGTGATAATGCAATCAAGATGCTGAAAGCCAAAATGATGGTCTTAGTGAAACGGAGCAGGACTGTATGGTCCTTCCTCCCACCCCACCCCCCACTACCGTGTCCTCTCCCATGCATCAACCTATCAGAGAACTGTGCCCAAACTGATCATAGACCCTGAGAGCCCTCCCTCAGCTGACTTTAAAAGTGCCTTACTGTAGAGGTCAGATTTGTGGTTGCCACGGGAGAGGGGGCTGGGAGAGGGAAGGATTGGGAGTTTGGGATTAGCACATGCAAACTATTATATAGGATAGATGAATAACAAGGTCCGATGTCGGGGAGTGTTTAACCGGAGGATTCCTACGTGCTGTTTCTCTCAAGTCCGTTGTTTCTTTTCAAGCGGAGCGGCACGCTGCTCCCCGGAACTGAGGTCACTGTGTGAGACGGGCTTGGGTCTCCTTCAGTAAACATTCTCTTTACGACAAAACTGCTTAGTCTCCATCCCCCTTGTTGAGTTATGGACTGTCTCCTGACCTTGTGACCATTATTACCCCTTGTTCCCTTGGTAACGGTTGCTGTACGTTTGGTTTTCTGAACTTTATCACTGTCGTAAGAAACTTCTTGTACCACAGCCCATATATACTCACAGGAAAATCATTAAAGCACCTTTGCTCCATCAGCGCTTAGGTCCCCATGTCGTCTTCGTTTCTCTCTCTCTCTGGCTGATTCTCTGGAGCGTGGAGACCCCTCCGGCTCACTCTCCTGCCTGCGCTTCTAAGACCCTCTCGAGAAGGCGCTCTGTGCCTTCCCCTCCTCGAGGGGGCGCCTGGTGCCTTCCTGAGCGATGCAAGCTCTGTGTCAAGAGCTTTATTGGTTTTCTGTGTAAACCAGGGGCTATCAGCCTCTTTCTCTCTTTCACTTTCTTATCGTCGACTCCGGACCACCAGGTTCCGGTCCATTAAAGAACCCCAACAAGTGGCACCCAGAACACGGACACTGGTATACGTGGCATTTCGGACGGAGTGACTCCAGGGGCCTATTGAGGTCTGGACCTATTGAGGTCGGTAAGTACTAAGACATGGGTCAGACGGCTGGAAAGCCCCATCATTTCTCCGTTTTACTTCACCGTTTGTTTAAAGCTCAGGGACTTATGGTTTCGGGCTAATGAATAGAGGCTTGCTTTCAAACAGTGGTTAAATGTAATCCTTGGTTCCCTGATAGAGGCATTTTGATTTACAAATTTGGCATAAGGTCAAAGACAATGTTGAACAAGCCATCAAGCAAGGAAAAAATATTCCAATTGATTTCTAACCCCTATGGGCCCTCATTAAAGCTGTAATTCTGCCATTTCAAGGTAAATTCTAGCCCTCTCAATATTCAGCAACAGACAGAACACTTATTACATGAATATAAATTAAATGAGAAAACTTTACAAAAGGCCCAATTAGAAGAGCATAAAATATTTCAAAATGTTCTTACTAGCCCTGCCCCGACTGCTCCAAATGCTCCTCCTCTGCCAACAGGCTCAACTCCAAAAGTCTCTCCTTTGTGGGAACCTAATGAAAATTATGCTAATTTTTAATCTAAATTAGAAACTGCTATTTCCCATACTGTAATTGGAGAAGAAGCCAAAAAACAGCTAGAGAAATTACTTGCTTATGAGAATGCAAATCAGGAATGCCAAAGAGCTATTGCTCCAATTCGTGAGACTGGGACTATTATTGATTATTTGAAGGCTTGTCACAATCTAGGATCAGCAACTCAAAAGATGCAAATGCTAGCTGAGACAATGGCTGCTATCTTTAGAAAGAGAAATGAAGGATGCTTTACATGTGGAGATAAAAACCATTTAAAAAGGGACTGCCCTAAGAAGGCTAATAAAAAACCTCCAAGAATTTGCCCTCGCTGCCATAGAGGAATGCATTGGGCCAAAGATTGTAAATCTAAATTTGATATTAAAAGAAAGCCTACTCCAAGAAACTCCAAACAGGGGACACCCCCCCCCCCCGTTCCCCTACAACAAAAACCAGGGGCAAATTCTATCTTTTTCCTCAAACCCTCAACATCCGGCAGTGCTAACATTGATATACCAGCCCTAAATGATTTTATCTTTACCCTCAAGCAGTCCGTTCTAGAATACCTACCGGACTTTTTGGACCCCTGCCCCCACAAACCTTCGGTCTTTTGCTTGGCCGATCTAGTTTGACTTCTAAAGGAATTACTGTTCACCCTGGAATAATTGATTCAGGTTATAAAGGAGAAATTCAAATTATGTCATTTCAGATTCTAGGGCAATTCAAAAAAGAGGGACAAAATTGCTCAATTATTTCTTTTACCTTACATTTCTATTAACCCCTCTAATAATGTATGGACAAATAGATTCAACAGTACAGATCAAAAACAATCCTTATGGACATCATTGGTATCTGAGTATGCCCAACTAAAAATAAATATCAAAATTAATGGTAAAAGATTTTATGGTCTCCTCGACACTCTATCTGATATTACTATTATTTCCAAACACTTATGACCCATATCTGGCCTATACAAAAAATCTCTTGCCAAACTGCAGAAATTTCTCAAACCAAAGTACAAGAAGTTTATCAAAATGTTAAAATCTACCCATATGAAGGACCAAAAGGCCAGCCTGCAACATTAAGACCTTATGTGATAGATGCACCCCTTAATCTAATAGGAAGGGACTTATGCTATGGCAAACTCAAATATACATTCCACATTTTTCCTAGGGGCCACTGCTTATTTAACAAACAAAACAATTATTAAAATAATTTGGGAGAAAGACGAGCCTATTTGGACAGAGCAATGGCCCCTGATGAAAGAAAAATTACAGGCTGCTAAAGAACTTACAGACACACAATTAGAATTAAAACATATTGAGGAATCTTACTCTCTTTAGAACTCTTTTTATTATAAAAAAGAAATCTAACAAATGGCATCTCTTAACAGACCTTATAAAAGTTAATGCATCTATGAAACCTATGGATACATTACAACCAGTGATCCCATCACCTATTACTATTCCTCAAAATTGGCACATTATTATCACTGATTTACAAGATTGCTTTTTTAATATACCTTCACACCCTTTAGACCAGGAGAGATTCACTTTCTCTCTCCCTTATCCTAATCATATCGGGCCTCATAAAAGATTTCAATAGACTATGTTACCTCAAGTTATGCTTAACAGTCCTAGTATTTGTCAAAATTTTGTAGCCAAGGCTTTACTTCCTATGTGACAGCAATTCCCTCATGCATATATCATTAATAATATACTATAACTACAAAAAGGAGAAATGATATTTTTGACACTGAATGGCCATGATATTCTTTAGACTCCAAGAGAAAACTGGTTAAAAGAAAATCTTTTTTGAAATTACAAAACCGATTCTTCTTACACGTGCAGTTAGGAAAAGGTTAACTTGTTAAAATATTTTTTTGGAACTCCAGTTCTGCCTGGGAAACAAAAACAGGCTTAAGAAAAAACCTAAAATTAACTCTCATCATGTCCTTGGGATATGCAGCCCAATATATATATATATATATATATATATATATAAGATGAAAACTTTTAGATAAACTCTATTAATAATTACATTTTTAATAGAATAATATATTATTATAATCTAAAATAATCTCTTAGGACTAGGGTAACTTAAATTTCTAGAGTTATACTAAACTAAATAATAAAAGTTTATTAAATAGCTACATCATTTCCAAACAAACTAAGATTTTAAAACATTAATTACTGAACATTAACTTCCTCTTACAGAAAGTTTTCCTTACAGAAAAGCTAAAGAGATTTCAAACTATTAATAAATATATTATATATTGTATTATATAATACATATAATATGATATAATAAACATATTCATCAATCTATAAAATACTAATATACAAGACACTTCATAGTTGCTAAAGAAAAGTAAAATATATACTTTTAATAAAAAGATATAAGAAATGGCAAATAAAATTATGAGTACAAAAATATAAAAAAGGTTTATGACAAATGAAAGAAAATTTTATGGCAAATGGATTTAACTCATTGCCCTGAACTTTCTTCCTCTTCCTTCTTACATGTCTTGATCGATACAAATTCCTCTTTTATATGGGCCACACCTCTCCAAGGTGAAACTACACGACATGTTATAACCCACTTATCAACTTATTTTGCGATAATGAGAACACCTAATTCTATAAAAACAGACAATGGCCCTGCCTGTATTTCTAAACAGTTCAAACAATTTTTACATTCCTTCTCTATTAAACAGATCACAGACATTCCTTATAGTCCACAAGCACAAGACATAATTAAACAAACACATCACACACTGTAACTGCAAATAAAAAATTAAATAAGGGGGAATACACAGGAACACTTTTATCTTCCTTATCCAGAGCAAACTTTACTAGATTCTAATGCAATATATTCTTTAAGCCTCTAACTACTGTTAATATAGCTTTATTTCAGTTTCCAGTCTGTAAGATTCTTAAAATAACATCAACTTCAATGCCTGTTTCACATTACAAAACAAAAACAACATAAAAAAGGACACCATTTCCTGAATAAGTTATTTGTTCCTAAGAGTATCAAAAGTGCAAAGTAACTCCCTGGCAATGGGCAAAGAGGCACCTGATTGGTGGTGTTGCTCTTATATCAGTCAGGGGCAAAGCAGATGTCCAGTCCTTTGTTCATCCTAGCTTGATGCCTGGATTGGTGGCCAGAGCTATTTCATGCCTGGGGCACATAAAAGAGAAAAAAAAAAGTGCAAAGTATTCACCTTCTTTTCAGGTCTGTCTTGAAAGTATAATCACCTTCTTTAACACACTGAACAGAGATTCAACAGCTGCCAGGCTGCGTTTCTTTTCCAAGGACAAGGTCAAATATATTTGGATATGAGCAATGTTTCATTTGTCAAGTTGTTCTGCATCAGCTTTTCAATAATTTCACTTAGGAAAAGATGTTTGAATGTTTGCTCCTAATCCTTTGCCCCAAATAACACAAACCACTTAAAACACAGTCAGATCCCATTTCTATCAGAAAAAATGTATGTACTGAATGAGGAGGAAATCAACCCATTAATTCAAAACCACAGCCAAATACCAGTCCCCAAACAGATCTCTAGATTATTATTATTTTTTTTTTTGGACTGAAATATTTCCTAGGAATGTCAATTTCATCATTGTCGTTTTCCTTTCTTTCTATAACTATTGTTAATATAGCTTTATTTGTTTTAAATTTTTTAAACTTACTGCAAAGAGGTGTTTTGACGAAAGCAGAAAAACATTTCAAAACATTAAAGGACATCTCCCTTCCTTTGCCTATTTGATATCAAGATGGGTTAACTAATCAATGGAAATGTTAAGAAACTAATGTTACAGGGAAAGGGGTATGCTTCTATTTCTCCAGATGGATCCAACAAACTCACATGGCTTCCTCTTCAGAAGATTCAACCTAAGGTGGCCCCCAGCATTCAAACTAGAGATGAAACAACAAAAACCCCAGGAGGAAGAAATTCCAATACAAGCCATGGCAGCTTTAAAATTTTCCAAAAGACACAATTGACGTCATTGACCTTATGATCTCCCTACTTGGGGACAGATAAACACCCTTACTAATCAAGCAGAAAATCTGATTTCTCAACAGGGAATGCGTCAGAATCCTGAAAATACTTTTCTTAACTATGCTTGCTTTTGCTTCCCCCACTCAGGCTGACTTGATTGATCACATTTATTGGGCTTATGTACCTAACCCCCCTTTTATGGAATGGACAGATTTAGGACCAATCGTATCCACTAATGACTCAACACATATGTCCCCTCCTTGGAGCTTGGAGGGGCCCTCTCATCCTGAGAAAGAAGGAAGACTAATTAACATTTCTCTAGGCTATGAAATCCTACCTTTATGCATGGGCTCAACAAAATTATATATTAATGTTAATCGACAAACTTGGGCTTTTGTCCTGCCTCCAAAAAAGAACATCCACACATTGCTTGGATTATTTACTGCCCTTTCTTTGTCCATGAGCCATGTTTATACTATTCAAACTTTAGGGAAAGAATTAGGGAAAGAACAAAGAACACTGTGCAAAGGGTTTACTAATAAGAACTTTAAATATATTCCTGTCCATTGGGACAAAGTCAGGCCAGATCAGTAAAATCAGTGTTTATGGATAATCATACAGTTGTCGCTTGGGGACCCCATGGTATGTGGTTATCTAACTGCTCATACGATATTAACAGCACTATGTGTGATTATGTTACTCAAGTAGCATGGAAGGTTACTAATACTACAATGGAGCATCACCATGACAGAGGACTTCTTGGGTGGCTTGACGGTGGAATGGCCCCACCTCGTCCTCGAATCATCCTTGCTAAACAGATTGGGCCTAAACAATGTGACATCTGGAAACTTGCTGCAAACACCGAAGAATTTAGGACTTGGACTGGACATTTCACAGGGACCAATAGTAGTCATAGAAACGATTTCTTTCATTATAATCAATCATATTTCATACAAGCTGTGTTCCACTTCCTTTTATTATAGCTATAGGAAATTTACAATTCAATAAGACTTTACGTTCTGTAACTTGCATAAATCATAAATTATATACTTGTCTTAACTCCTCTATTTCCTTGAGAAATGACTCACTTTTGATTCTTTGATCTCAACATAATCTGTGGTTACCAATAAAACTCCAGCGGCCCTGGGAAGAAGGTCCCATGGCTGGATTTGCTTCCCAGTTACTTACTAAATTGCTCCAGCGATCTAAACAATTCATTGGATGGCTGATTTTTGGCATTTTGGGATTAACAGCTATTTGCACCACTGCTTCCATCACTGGCGTTACTTTACAAACCTCAATTCAAACACATAATTTTATCCACTCAGGCTAAGATAGATGAGGCTATTCAAGATGAAATACAGGAACTAAAAACAGCCATCAAATGGGTTGGAGATAAATTAATAGAGGTACAAAAACAAGTGATGCTAAAATGTGATTGGAATTCTACTCAACTTTGTGTCACTCCTGTTCATTTCAATAATAGTGCCTACAGCTGGGAACAAATCAAATTTCATTTACAAAACATACATGATAATGCCTCTCTGAATGTACAATTATTACAAAAAGAAATTTTTGAAACCTTTTCTAAAAATCTGTCCTCTTCCACTAGTTTGAAAACTTTAGCTGAACAACTAGCTGATCAATTATCTGGGCTAGACCCACGCAGATAGTTTCAAAGCATTACTCACAGCATCGGGTCTGGAACTGTAATTTTGGTAATTGTCTTGACAATTATATTTGTCATCTACTGTTGCCTTCATGCAAAGATTGATAAAACTAAACAAACTTTAATGGTCAGAACACTTTTTACAAATATTATAAATAAATAAGGGGGAATTGTCGGGGAGTGTTTAACCCGAGGATTCCTACGTGCTGTTTCTCTCAAGTCCGTTGTTTCTTTTCAAGCGGAGCGGCACGCTGCTCCCCGGAACTGAGGTCACTGTGTGAGACGGGCTTGGGTCTCCTTCAGTAAACATTCTCTTTACGACAAAACTGCTTAGTCTCCATCCCCCTTCTTGAGTTATGGACTGTCTCCTGACCTTGTGACCATTATTACCCCTTGTTCCCTTGGTAACGGTTGCTGTACGTTTGGTTTTCTGAACTTTATCACTGTCGTAAGGAACTTCTTGTACCACAGCCCATATATACTCACAGGAAAATCACAGAGCACCTTTGCTCCATCAGCGCTTAGGTCCCCGTGTCGTCTTCGTTTCTCTCTCTCTCTGGCTGATTCTCTGGGGCGTGGAGACCCCTCCGGCTCACTCTCCTGCCTGCGCTTCTAAGACCCTCTCGAGAAGGCGCTCTGTGCCTTCCCCTCCTCGAGGGGGCGCCTGGTGCCTTCCTGAGCGATGCAAGCTCTGTGTCAAGAGCTTTATTGGTTTTCTGTGTAAACCAGGGGCTATCGGCCTCTTTCTCTCTTTCACTTTCTTATCGTCGACTCCGGACCACCAGGTTCTGGTCCATTAAAGGACCCCAACAGTCCTACTGTATAGCACAGGGAACTATATTCAATACCAAATATGTGTGTGTGTGTGTGTGTGTGTGTATTTGAATATATGTGTATCTGAATCACTGCACTGTAAATCAACTGTACTTCAACAAAATAAATTTTTAAAAATGCTTAGCTGAAACACTTTAGGGAGTTCAGCTTTTTGAGGAGGATCCGCCTGTTTGCCTTTCTTGGCCCTGCTATAAAACTGTTTGTTTCAAACTCTGATGTTTAGGTTTGTTTGGTCTCCAGGTGTGCTGGGTACTTGGGCTTGCCTCTGGTAACACTGGGGTAAATATGGAAGAATATTTACAGTGTAAAACAACAGCAGCAGCATCTTGTGGGGTTTATAACATATGTCTATAAATAAGTACTAAGATAACAGAAGTACAGTGGGGAGTGTCGACTGAAAAAGAAATGTGTGACCTAAAAGTTGAGAAAGTGAAAGAGGAGAGTGAAAAAGTTGGCTTAAAGCTCAACATTTAGAAAACCAAGATCATGGCATCCTATCTCGTCACTTCATGGAAAATAGATGGGGAAACAGTGAAAACAGTGGCTGACTTTATTTTTTGGGGGCTCCAAAATCACTGCAGATGGTGATTGCAGCCATGAAATTAAAAGATGCTTACTCCTTGGAAGGAAAGTTATAACCAACCTAGATAGCATATTAAAAAAACAGAGACATCACTTTGCCAACAAAGGTCCATCTAGTCAAGGCAATGGTTTTTCTAGTAGTCATGTATGGATGTGAGAGTTGGACTATAAAGAAAGCTGAGCACCCAAGAATTGATGCTTTTGAACTGTGGTATGGAGAAGACTCTTGAGAGTCCCTTGGACTGCAAGGAGATGCAACCAGTCCATCCTAAAGGAGATCAGGCCTGGGTGTTCACTGGAAGGACTGATGTTGAAGCTGAAACTCCAATACTTTGGTCACTTGAAAAGACCCTGATGCTGGGAAAGATTGAGGGCAGGAGGAGAAGGGGACGACAGAGGATGAGATAAGGTTGGATGGCATCACCGACTCAATGGACATGAGTTTGGGTAGGCTCCGGGTGTTGGTGATGGACAAGGAGGCCTGGTGTGCTGCAGTTCCTGGGGTCGCAAAGAGTCAGACATGACTGAGCGACTGAACTGAAATGAACTGAACTGAAAAGTTGAGAATGATGTTTTGTTTGTTGGAATTTCTGAGGATTTCAAGCCCAGAGGACAGATTCTCAGAGGAGCCAGGATATGTAGGACTTTTTTTTTGACAAAGATAAGGTAGTCAGAACTTGAAACGATTATTGTTAATTAAAGAAGACCAGTTATCTCAAGGAATTTGGTGCTTTTCTCTGTATGGGAAGATGCAAGTCTGGGCTCACTGCAGTCATTCCTTTCATAGACACCTCATCGGCCAGGGCCAGTATCCTTTTCTTTTCTGTCCTGAGTCCCCTCAGGGTGCACCTCTGGGGCAGTTGCAGTAGCCAAGGGCTTGGCAGTGGGCGTGAGTTTGTCTCTACCTTGAGCTCTCTCAGGGCCCACCTTCCGGGGTGGTGGCAGTGGCTGAGGGCTGTAACGTCCTTTGTTTACTGATACAGCAGCAACATTTTTCATTCACAAGGGAAGGAAATGAACTTATACTCTGCAGGGTTCTTGAGCTGTTCAGGATGTGGTGAATGTAGTAACTTAAGCTAGACTATAACAAGTGCATATTGTGATAATCATATAAGAAATATAAAGGAGAAAAGGAAATATGAAAAATATTCCATAATTCCAAAAGAATGCAGGAAGAGAAAAAACAGTTGGGAGAAATAAAAGCAAAGGGAAAAGTGGTAGCCATGACCTGTTAGGTTTTGGACCAACTTGTCAACACCCAGTGTTGTGGCCAGACCAGCCCTGTGGTTCCTACTGGGATGGCAGTGAGCAGCAGCAGCATGCGCTGTGCCCGGTCATGTCTGACTCTTTGCGACTCCATGGACAGTCCATGGCTCCTCTGTCCATGGGGCTTCTCCAGGCCAGAATAGTGGAGTGGGTTGCCATGCCCTCCTCCAGGGGATCTTCTCAACCCAGGAATTGAACCCAGGTCTCCTGTACTGCAGGCACATTCTCTACCATCTGAGCCCCAGGGAAGCCCAGCAGCAGCGATGACCCGTGGGGAGCTTTGAAAGGACCACTTGTACTATTCACAAGTTCTGGGCTTACCAGGAGCCCCTGAAAGCACAGTGTGGGGTCTTGAGGGGAGAGAGCGAGCACTGGCCTGGGGTTCTGCTTTTATGTGATCAAGGGTGATGACTTAGGGTCCCCTAGGGTTTGGTGGGATTGCTTTTTACTTGTGAGTTTGGCTTCCCTGGTAGCTCAGTTGGTAAAGAATCCACCTGCAGTGTGGGAGACCTGGGTTCAATCCCTGGTAGGGAAGATCTGCTGGAGAAGGGAAAGTCTACCCACTCCAGTGTTCTTGGGCTCCCCCTGGTGGCTCAGCTGGTAAAGAATCCACCTGCAATGTGGGAGAGCTGGGTGAATAGCTATGCTGAGTTTCTTTGGCAAGCTGATTATGTGGATTGGAGAAATTAAGGGCAGAATACTCACTGGGGAGGTGAGGGCTTGGGGTCACATTTCCCTGATTTCTTCCCAGCTCCACCTTCCCAAGGGGGTGGGGGTGGGGCAGGAATCCTTATTTAGCCTTGATTGGAAGTGTCATGCCTTCATGCCTGATGGGTACATCTTATCTGCGAGGCTAATCTTATTGAGAACATAAAGAGCAAAACGTTTTCTAGGACTCTGGAGATTCCAACGTCTTCCCATCTTTCTTCATCTGCTTTGTTTTCTTGTAAACACCCACTGTTTACAAGATGCATGGTTTCCTACCATGTGGCCCTTTGCCCCACTTGCTCTGCTCACATTTAGCTAACTGACTGTCTTGAAACCACGACTCACTACTCACTTTGTATGTGTAGACCTAGATTGTGTGAACTGTCAGTAATACACCATTTGGTGGTGTGTAACCCTTTGAAAGGGACATCTTTTTTGGGTGTTAGTCCTAAAAGGTCTTGTAGGTCTTCATAGAACTGTTCAACTTTGCCTTCTTCAGCATTATTGGTTGGGGCATAGGCTTAGATTACTGTGATATTGACTGGTTTGCCTTGGAAACGAACAGAGATCATTCTGTCATTTTTGAGATTGCATCCGAGTACTGCATTTCGGACTCTTTTGTTGACTATGATGGCTACTCCATTTCTTCTAAGGGATTCCTGCCCACAGTAGTAGATATAATGATCATCTGAGTTAAATTCACCCATTCCAGTCCATTTTAGTTCACTGATTCCTAGAATGTCGACATTCACTCTTGCCATCTCCTGTTTGACCACTTCCAATTTGCCTTGATTCATGTACCTAACATTCCAGGTTCCTATGCAATATTGCTCTTTACAGCATCGGACCTTACTTCTATCACCAGTCCCATCCACAACTGGGCATTGTTTTTGCTTTGGCTCCATCCTTTCATTCTTTCTGGAGTTATTTCTCCACTGATCTCCAGTAGCATATTGGGCACCTACCGACCTGGGGAGTTCCTCTTTCAGTATCCTATTGTCAGGCGAGTGTATGCTCCTCGGTTCTTTGTCTCGTCACAACAAAGATTTGGAGTGACGGATATTAAAGCCCCTTGGCGGGTCACAGCTCTTGGAGGACAGACTGTGTTACAGCTCTTAAATAAATCACTGTTACAGCTCTATTTATTTAGATGATAGCAGGAAAATCCATCTTCGAGGTGTGAGGGCACTTCGATCCAAAGACGGGAAGAGAAGAGCGCCCCATCGTGTGGGGGAGAGAGGGAAGAGGGCTTTGGCTCCTCTTTTTATATGTTTTCTTTGTTCCCCCTGGGCCTGTCCTATGCAAAATTGGCTTAGGCAGGAGCGTTGTTTGTTTTACCTGAGGTTCTCACTCCGGTCCTCGGACCTTCCTTTGTTCTATTTTCGGGGGCTTTCCCTTCCAGGTCTTTTAGCCACCGCCATTTTGGACTCCTTTTCCCTATTCTAACTACCTAACACTATCATTTTGCTTCCTCATACTGTTCATGGGGTTCTCAAGACAAGAATACTTAAGTGGTTTGCCATTCCCTTCTCCAGTGGACCACATTCTGTCAGACCTCTCCACCATGACCCGACTGTCTTGGGTGGCCCCACACGGCATGGCTTAGTTTCATTGAGTTAGACAAGACTGTGGTTCTGTGATCAAGTTGGCTAGTTTTCTGTGATTATGGTTTTAGTGTGTCTGCCCTCTGATACCCTCTTGCAACAACCTACCATTTTACTTGTGTTTCTCTTACCTTGGACGTGGGGTACCTCTTCACAGCTGCTCCAGCAAAGCGCAGCCGCTGCTCCTTACCTTGGACGAGGGGTATCTTCCCACAGCCGCCCCTCCTGACCTTGAACGTGGAGTAGCTCCTCTCAGCCCTCCTGCGCCCGTGAAGCAGCCACTCTTTGGAGGTGGGGTAGCTCCTCTCAGGAGGGGCCCCTGACCTCCGGGGTGGGGTAGTTCCTCTCTGCCGCCACCCCTGACCTTGGGCGTGGGGAAGCTCCTCTTGGCCGCCGCTCCTGCGCTGTCGCAGCCTGGCGCTCTCGGTCGCTACCTCTGACTTTGGGTGAGGCGTAGCTCCTCACAGCCACCCTTCTGTGCAGTCCGACGCAGCTGGCGCGCTTCTGCATTCTTCTCAGATATGCAGATGATGCCACCCTTATGGCAGAAAGTGAAGAGGAACTAAAAAGCCTCTTGATGAAAGTGAAAGAGGAGAGTGAAAAAGTTGGCTTAAAGCTTAACATTCAGAAAACCAAGATCATGGCATCTGGTCCCATCATGTCATGGGAAATAGATGGGGAAATAGTGGAAACAGTGTCAGACTTTATTGTGGGGGGCTCCAAAATCACTGCAGATGGTGACTGCAGCCATGAAATTAAAAGACACTCACTCCTTGGAAGGAAAGTTGTGACCAACCTAGATAACATATTAAAAAG